CCTGGATAACCACACGTACGCTCCAGATACCACCATTCAACCATTCATGAGGGCAGAGGTCTCATGACCTAATCAACTCTTAAAGGTCCCATCTCTTATTCTTTCTTTTCTTTTTCTTAGGTGGAGTTTTGCTCTTGTTGCCCAGGCTGGAGTGCAATGGCATGATCTCAGCTCACTGCAACCTCCACCTCCAGGATTCAAGTGATTCTGCTGCCTCAGCCACCCAAGTAGCTGGGATTACAGGTGCCCATGACCATGCCCAGCTAATTTTTGTGTTTTTAGTAGAGACAGGATTTCACCATATTGGCCAGGCTTTTCTTGAATTTCTGACCTCAGGTGATCCACCTGGCTCGACCTTCCAAAGTGCTGGGATTACAGACATGAGCCACCATGCCTGGCCAGGTCTCACCTCCTAATGCCATCACAATGGCAAATTTCAACATGAGTTTTGGAGGGGGTGCTCAAACCACAGCACTTACCTTGCCTTGTTCTTCCTGAATCTCTTGGGATGTCTTCCCAAATTGTTTCATTTCTTTGTGGAATGGGTAAAAGAAAATAGTTGTGCTTTAACATCCACCATCAGAATTTGAAATGATTTTTTTTTTTGGTCAAGATGGTTACTGCTCACTGAAACCTGAACTGATTTCACAGAACTCAGAATAACTCTAAATTAACCTAGGATTTAATTTGTTCAACTTTTCCTTTATCCTCCCTTCACTTTCATCCATGCTTGACACACCCACTCTTGGAACGGTCTTTCCTAACCCACTCGCTAGGCCCAACAGAGCATAGGAGGAGCCAGAGAGTGTTTATATTTGACCCCAACACTTCTGAAGGCACAATCTCAGCTCACTGCAACTTCCACCTCCCCGGCACAAGTGATTCTCCTGTCTCAGCCTCCTGAGTAGCTGGGATTACAGCTGTGCGCCACCACACCTGGCCAATTTTTGTATTTTTAGTAGAGATGTGGTTTCACCATGTTGGTCAGGCTAGTCTCAGACTCCTGACCTCGTGATCCACCCGCCTTGGCCTCCCAAAGTGTTGGGATTACAGGTGTGAGCCACCACACCTGGCCCTCTATTAATAGAAACATTTTTAATAAATAAAACATGTATTAGATATATAGTAGCTAACACAAAGGTATCTGAACATAAAATTAAGAAACAGCATATTGAATCCAGGAGTATATTAAAAAACACACAATAAGGCAGCAAAGTGGCCAGGCCCCCCGGGGTGAGGGAACTCCGTCTAGGATGGATACCCTCCTCCTCAGCAAGATCCAGGAGGAGTACCCAGACAGGACCATGAATGCATTCAGTGTGGTGCCCTCAACCAAGGCGTCAGACACGGTGGTGGAGGCCTATAACGCCACCCTCTCCATGCACCAGCATTTAGAAAACACAGACCAGACGAGATCTACTGCATCAATAATGAAGCTCTCTATGACATCTGCTTCAGAACCCTAAAGCTGCCATGCCCACCTATGGTGACCTGAACCACCTGGTGTCTGCCTCCATGAGTGAGGTCACTAACTGCCTGCACTTCCCAAGTCAGCTCAATTCTGATCTGCGGAAGCTGGCAGTGAACACAGTCCCATTCCCCTGCCGGCACTTCTTCATGCCCAGCTTTGCCCTGCTGACCAGTGGGGGAAGCCAGCAGTCCCGGGCCCTGTCAGTGCACGAGCTCACCTAGCAGATGTTGGATGCCAAGAACATGATGGCAGCCTGCAACCCCCACCATGACCGCTACCTGACAGTGGCCGCCGTGTTTAGGGCTACATGTCCATGAAGGAGGTGGACAAGCAAATGCTAAATGTCTAAAACAAGAACAGCAGCTGCTTTGTTGAGTGGATCTCCAACAATGTGAAAATGGCTGTCTGTGACATCCTGGCCCAGGGGCTAAAAATATCTGCCACCTTCACTGGCAACATCAGGGCCATCCAAGAGATGTTCATATGTATCTAGGAGCAGTTCATGGCCATGTTTTGGTACACGGCCTTCCTGTACTGGTACACAGGTAAGGGCCTAGATGAGATGGGGTTCACCAAGGCCAAGAGCAACATGAATGACCTGGTGTTCAAATACCAACAGTACCAGGATGCCACGGCCAAGGAGGAGGGCGAGTTCGAGAAGGAGGTGGCCTAGAGTCTCCAGTCACCGGGGAAAGCAGGGAAGTGGTGTGAACTCTGTATTCACTTCCAGCCTGTCCTCTGGTCTGTCCCACTGTGTGTGCACTTGCTGTTTTCCCTCTATGTCCCATGCTGTACAGATACACCACTAAAGCATTTTCATAGTGAAAAAAAAAATTGTTTCCATGTGATCTTTTTTTGCCCAATATACATTTTGTCTTCTATAAAATATCTGTGCTGCTGCTGAATACTTCCGTGTGTGGCTGAATCTGTGTATGTCATGAAGAATAATTATCTACAGATCGCAGATATAGGTCTCAGAGTTTAACTGTATATGCATCCCTGCAATTTCTTGATCTTACAAGGATCTGAGTGTTAATCGTGGAGACAGAGGCTATCCCTTATCCTTTAAAACAGAGATTGGAAATCCCAGGGCCTAAGCTGTTATACACTAAGGTTAATAAACTTCAATGAACATCTTTTGCTGATCTTCTGAGTTGGAATATTTTCATCTAACCAGCAGGAGGAATGAGGTTCTCCCTTTCAGCAGCTGTTTGCAAGATGCTTTCCTTGTGGGTTTGGTCTCCTTGTCCTCACCCTGACCTCATAACCACATCAGTCCCAGCTCATTTCTGAGAAAGCTGGGGCTCTGAGCCCCACTGAGAATAGGTGTCTGGGCTCAGGCAGCAGGGACACAGGGAAGGGGGAGGATTTTGCAGGCCAAGGCTGGGAGAGGCAAAGCTGGGAGTCGCAGGGGGAGACAGAGGTTGCTGGGAGTAAGATGATGCCAGAACAGCTCAGGGTTGACCTTGAATTCCCTGCCAAAGTTGACTTGATTCTGAAGACCAAACCTGCAGCTCCAATAAACCAGGTCCATCCTCATTGTTAGTCTCCCAGCATCATAAAAACTAGGGGAGACAGGGTCCCCTGACAGAACCAAGTTAAATTTCCCAGAGCTCTAGGCATTCATTCACCCTGACCCAGGGCCTTCACACATCCAGGGAAAGAAGCATCATTCCTACAGATAATGGACTAAAGGCAGTAGGGCAACGAGGAAGTGCTGGGGAGATAATTCCCTGTGCACACCCGGCCATCTGAGCTCTCCCACGGCAGCTCTGAGGGGCCCTCACTCAGCCTCCGTGCTCCTGCTCACAGTGCTTGCCCAGCCAGGAGCGGCTTTCCAGCTCCACCCGAGTTACACAAACCCCCATGTGACACCTCCCCACTTCAGCCTTCTCTTCCACAGCCTCTTGTTTATTCCCAGGAGATTCGGTCTCTTTCTTTTGCACCCTGGGTCCCTTCAATTGTGCTTCCACTGTTAGTGGTCACAAGCTCTGTGCCCTTTGGTGTGATCTCTCTGCTGGAGGACACAGGACACCCTGCAAGTCAGGGATGGGTCTTATCCCTCACAGAGATGGCCATATGGCCCAGGTTCTATACACACCTGCAAAACTGGTATTTCTGGCTTCTATAAACAATCTCTGGCTGGGCTGGTGGCTCACACCTGTAATCTTAGCTCTTTGAAAGGCCTAAGTTGGCAGATGGCATGAGTCCAGGAGTTTGAGACCAGCCTGGGCAACATGGTGAAACACGGTCTCTACAAAAAGTTTAAAAAAAAAAAAAAAAAAAAAAAGGGAGATGGGTACAGTGGCTCACGTCTGTAATCCCAGCATTTTGGGAGGCCATGGTGGGTGGATCACCTCAGGTCAGGAATTTGAGGCCAGCCTGGCCAATATGGTGAAACCCTGTCTCTACTAAAAATACAAAAATTAGCTGGGTGTGGTGGCGTGAATCTGTAGTCCCAGCTACTCAGAAGGCTGAGGCAGAAGAAGCACTTGAACCTGGGAGGCAGAGGTTGCAGTGAGCTGAGATCTGAGATCTCACCACTGCACTCCAGCTTGGGTGACAAAGCGGGACTCCATCTCAAAAGAAAAAAATAAGGCCGGGTGCTGAGGCTCATGCATGTAATCCCAACACTTTGGGAGGCCAAGGCGGGCAGATCATGGGATCAATAGATCAAGACTGTCCTGGACAACATGGTGAAACCCCATCTCTACTAAAAATATAAAAAATTAGTTGGGCATGGTGACACATGCCTGTAGTCCCAGCTACTTGTGAGGCTGAGGCAGGAGAATCGCTTGAACCTGGGAGGTGGAGGTTGTAGTGAGCCGAGATGGCACCACTACACACAACCTAGTGACAGAGTGAGACTCTGTCTCAAAAAAAAAAAAAAGCAAAACACGGTGGTGCATGACTGTAGTCCCAACCTCTGAAGGCTGAAGTGGGAGGATCACCTGAACACCAGAGATGGAGGTTGTACTGAGCCAGGATTGCACCACTGCACTCCAGCCTGGGTGACACAGTGAGACTCTGTCCCCATAAACAATAAAAAATCTTCATCTACAAGAGATGCCTTCTGCCAAACTCATGATGAGGAAATAACGCAACCAACTGTGTACTCTCAGAAACTTGAGAAAAGTGACCAGGATCTCCGCCAGTGTTACCCTTGTACTGCAAAGCCCTGCAGTACCATCTGTGACATTTCTTTCTATTGACTCAAAAAAAGAAGAGATGAATTCCTTTTACAAATCGCTTTATGCTGTTCAAATCAACACATCAAGTGGTGCATTTAGAGGTACTGGTCGAGGTCCCAGAGGCCACATGAGTAGAGGAGGTGGCTGAAGTCCCAGGGGACACTCAGGTGAAGGTGTCAGTTGACGTAGCAGGTCAGGTAATTGAAGGAGGTGGCTGAGGCTCTAGAGGAAACCTAGGTGGAGGATGGCTGAGGTTCCAGAAGACATTAAGTGGAGAAGTAGGGTGAGGTCCAAGAGGCCATGAAGCTGAAGAAAGAAGATGAGGTCCCCAGAACAGACAGCTGGATAAGGTGGATGGGTTCTGCCAAAACAGACAGATGGATGAGGTGGACGGGTTCTCCCAAAATGGACAGCTAGATGAGGTGGATGGGGTCCCCCAAGACAGAGAGCTGGATGAGGTGGATGGGGTCCCCCAGGACAGACAGCTGGATCAGGTAGATGTGTTCTCCCGAAACAGACAGATGGATAAGGTGGATGGGGTCCCACAGGACAGAAATCTGAATTAGTGGATAAGCTTTCCCAGCACAGACACCTGGATGAGGTAGATGGGGTCCCACAGGACAGACAGCTGGATGAGGTGGATGGGGTCCAAGACAGGGAGCTGGATGAGGTGGATGGGGTCCCCCAGGACAGACAGCAGGATAAGGTGGTTGAGGTACCTCAGGGCAGACAGCTGGATGAGGTGGATAAAGTCCCACAGGAGATGCAGCTGGAGGAGGTGGTGGAGGTTCCACAAAACAAACAGCTGGAAGAGGTGAAGGAGGTCCCAGATGACACTCTAATAGAGAACATGTGTGAGGTCTCAGAGGACACTCGATTGCTGGAGGGGTCTGAGGCTTCAGAAGATCATCAGCTGGAGAAGATGGTGGAGGTACCAGAGAGCACTCAACTGGAGGAGGTGACTGTGGTCTCAGAGAATCTTCACTTGGAGAAGACAGTTGAGGTCACATAGGACACTTGAGTGAAGTAGGTGGCTCAAGTCCCAGAGGGCACTCAAGTGAAACAGGAGGTTGAGGTTCCAGAAATAATTCAAGTGGTGGAGCTGCTTGTGGCCTCAGAAAATCATTACCTGAAGGTGGTAGATATACCGGAAGACACTCGGGTGGTGGAGGTGTGCGTGGTCTCAGAAAATCATCAGCTGGAGATGGTGGTAGGGGTAACAGAGTACACTGAGGTAGAGGTGTGTGTGGTCTCAGAACATCTTGAGTGGAAGAAGCTGGTAGAGATACCAGAGGACATTCAGGTGGAGGTGTGTGGGTTCTTAGAAAATCTTCAGCTGGAGAAGGTGGTAGAGGTACCAGAAGACACTTAGGTGTAAGTGTCTGTGGTCTAGAAAAATCGTCATCTGGAGAAGGTGGCAGAGGTACCAGAGTACATTCCAGCAAAATAAGTAGTTGAGGTCCAGGAGGACACTTGAGTGGTGGAGCTGTAAAACTACAGTGGAGCTGTAGTTTTAGAAAATTATCAGCTGCAGAAGGTGTTTGAGGTCCTAGTGGACACTGGAGTTGAGGAGTTGTCAGAGGTCCCAGATCAACATTAGCTGATGGGAATGGTTGAGCTCCCAGGTGACACCCAGTTGGAGGAGATGGCCGGCAACCCATCAGTGGTCTTGAAGGGTAAGCCATGAGATAGGGCGAGTAGGGCATCCTGGGCAATGATGATGTTGTGCTGCAGCCACATAGGCCTGCCGGGAAGAAGGAGGAAATGTTTTGAAATATATTAATTTGATGGACAGAATGACCACCACCAACACAGGCTGCACCTGATGTTGCTGCTATTTTTTGCACCTTTCCATCCTCTAGGTTTCAAAATAGCAGCATCAATGTCATGAAGTCACCCTTCCACTAAGTACCACAGACAGCTGGGGAGTGAAGAAAAATCATTGGGACAAACTGTTTTCTCCACATGCCACTGTGTCTGTCTGCAAATGTAGGCAGGCTGGGGGCCGGCCCCAGGGAAGACAGAGTCATAATGCAATAAGGAAGATGCACGTTTCAGACACAGGAGAGTCTATGTCCATCCTCATTCCTCCCTCACCGCCATCACCAGAGCGTGCTCCTTGTATCAGATAAACAGCGAGCAAGAGAGGCTTGAAAAGCCCATTGTCCACACATGTGTTGCAGTTTCTTTTTGGATTATGTTCTCCAGGCCTTTTATGTTCTCTAATCCTCAAAACTATGCAAGTCAGTGTGACCGCCCTACCCCGAATCTAAGAAAAGGGAGGCTCCCAAAGGAAAGAGAGCATGTGCCCAGGGTCACACAGCTTGCAGGAGGCACAGTGGGAGTTGATTCCAGCTCTCCCTGCAGGACCCTCTCATTTCCCTTCTGCTTCCGTTCTTGACAAAGGATCTTCTTCACTCTGGGGGTGCCACCGTGGGCACAAACAGCTCACAGGGAAATGCGGATTCCTGAAGACCTGCCGGGGAACTGGGAGAGGGTTTTCTCACAGAACAATCCTACATATAGAAGTCGGTTAGGCATGGCTAGAATATTTCTTTTAACTCCCAGGCAATACAAATTTTAAGTGCACTATGACATAAAGAATACTTTTGTCCATGGAAAAATGAGGTGGGGATTCTGAAAAAAGCAAGTTTTATAAATGTGTCTGATTTCAAGTGTGCAAGTCCTGTCATGTGTCATCACAGGACTCGGCAGCTGCTGAAGGTACAGAGGCTACATGAGAACCAGCATAGCTGAGCATCATTTAAGGCTTAGTTGGGAATTGTCACTGTGGGTAAGAGGTTCCATTCACTCTTCACTCACAGTTAAGGCAATGTTCTATTACAAATATGGAAACTCTGACACTAAGAATGTTAGATCAGGGGCACCACTGAATGGGGGTGAAGGCGTTTTTGCACAACACAGTTACCAACAGGGATGGAACTGTGATGAACTATGGAATTGACCTTGTTGAAGAGCATTCAAAAATTGCACAAAGCACATATTAATGTTGGAGTAATGAGTTTTCACTTTTGTCACTTCTGTGAATACAGCAGGTATTTCAAATGGTAATCACCTACCTTATTTTACTTTACTACCTTAGCAAA